AAAGATTAAAAAATCTGAAAATTACACTCATTCTCTAAAATCTTATCCACCACCATTTACTTAATAACCAAGTAATTATTTAAATAGAAAATCGAAAATCACCTTTGTACAATACAATTATCTTAAAACTGTAGGTCAAAACCACTAATTAATAAAATATATGTGTATGTAAATATTATTCATATTTAACTGTATTTCTAGACTGTGCTAAAAATACCAAAATGAATATTAATAAAAGTAATAATAAAATGAATATTGGCAAATGTAATGAACAAAATGAACGGCATGTAAAAGATGTAATCTAACAAAAAAAAGAATGATTTAATCAAAACGAACAAATACTTGAATATATTCAACCGACTGTGACCCAAAACAATGTAAACAAAATTAACCAATAAAAATCATAATATTTTGAGAAATAAGGATAATTATCAACAAATTGCAATAAAATAGAAAAAACATGTATTTTGAATCATTTAACGAATGAAATACTTAAAAGTATTAACTTTAAAAATATCATACCAAAATTTGGTGTCAACAAATAGTTACAGCTTCAAACTCAGCATTTTCATTAATATCAACAACCCTCTCACCTACGTGGTCCCCTTGTCCCCTTCTTTATTAAAAGGTTGAAGTCATACACGACTCCTTAAAGTTGTCCTGAATTTAGCCACTTCAATTCAGCCTTTTTACCTATTGAACATCTATACTACAATAAATTTGTACATATTAAATATTTTTTGCTGACATGGCAGCATGTGTGTAATACACACACCAGAGGAGCGTGGAAGACATCTTTACATAAAAAAAAAAGATTTAAAAAAAATTAAATTAACATCTCCTCTTCTTCTTTGACTCAACTCAACCACCATTGCTACCAACTTTCCGTCATCCCAATCGTAGTGATCACCACCATTAAAGCTAATTCACATTCTTTCTTGAGGTCCAATCGTTCTTCTTCTCCACGCAATCTTATTTTTTACCAGATTTGTTGTCATCATATCCACACTTCTACTTTCCATTCTTTCTCCGGTCATCTTCTTCCTCTTTTATTTTTCAAGCCATCGTTTTCTTCCCCTTCTTTCACCACCCACCACCGATACCACCAATATCCAAATCTATTGTCGTCAAAAATAGAATCAAATTGCATCAAAAATAATTTTGACGGAACTCCATTTTTTCCGACGAATCTAAAACTATTTTCTTCGAAATCGTTAACAAATTTAAATCCTAAGGAACTCACAACATAGAAGAAAAATAAGTATCAACAAATCTTAATTAATGTTTAAGAAAATAGTGAGATTGGGAGAAATATCATTTCAATATTGAATCAGATTCAAGGAGAGGGGTAGGTGGGTGCGTCGAAAAAAAAAACTCATATAATTTAAAATTGATAGGAAAAAAGCCGAAGTGAAATGTCTATCAGAATGTGCTTCGATTTTGTGTCTTTTGGTAAAGAAAATGTGGAACGAACGTCGGGGTTGGATGGGGTGTTCTGGGAAGAAGAAGAAGAAAAGGGGAAAGAAAGGTCGTTTTTTTTAATTATTTTTTTTACTGAAAACATAGTTTCTGTTTATTTTATTTTTTAATTTATTTTTAACTGTTATTTATGGGTCCTATGTCACATGTCTCTTTTTTATTAGCTACTGTGCCACGTCAGCCGCGAGTGTATGACACACTATCTTTACTTTTAGTTGATTGTTAAAATATGTTCAATAGGTACTTTTTTTTTACTAAAAAAGGTGTTCAATTGGAACAAGCCTAAGATAAGGTGTCTAAATAAAATATGCGGACAACTTTAAGTGGGTATAGATGACTTAAGCCTTATTAAAAACACCAAAAGATTTCTCATTGGTAGGAGTGTATTCCCAAAAAATCAATGGGGCCATCCACTTGATCAACCAGGTTACAAACAGACACTTCAACAGTATCTTCATCTTTAAATCTTTGTGAAAGTTCAAAAATATCCCCATCAGTTTGTTTATCTAATAGAAAGTCACTCCTAGGTGGCCTAACATAAAATGTGCAACTTGTAGTATACCCCAACTCTTTAATATCATTAGTTAGTTCAAAGTAAGACATCTTATCCATATCGACATCAAATATTTCAGTGATTTCTCCACCCTCATATTATGATTTTCGACTTACTATTCAAAATTCTATCATGATAATATCTCATTGTTATATACGTAAAAGCTCTCATTCCTGAAGTTATGTCACAATCGCAGTACATAAATATTAGACATTGAAGAAAATAATTGGTTCTTACAAATCAAATAATTTAGGGAAATTCTAGAAAAATCCTAATTTACTAAAAAAAGTGTTCAATTGGAACAAGCCTAAGATAAGGTGTCTAAATAAAATATGCGGACAACTTTAAGTGGGTATAGATGACTTAAGCCTTATTAAAAGCACCAAAAGATTTCTCATTGGTAGGAGTGTATTCCCAAAAAATCAATGGGGCCATCCACTTGATCAACCAGGTGACAAGCATACACTTCAACAGTATCTCCATCTTTAAATCTTTGTGAATGTTCAAAAATATCCCCATCAGTTTGTTTATCTAATAGAAAGTCACTCCTAGGTGGCCTAACATAAAATGTGCAACTTGTAGTATACCCCTATTCTTTAATATCATTAGTTAGTTCAAAGTAAGACATCTTATCCATATCGACATCAAATATTTCAGTGATTTCTCCACCCTCATATAATGATTTTCGACTCTTACTATTCAAAATTTTATCATGATAATATCTCATTGTTATATACGTAAAAGCACTCATTCCTGAAGTTATGTCACAATCGCAGTACATAAATATTAGAAATTGAAGAAAATAATTGGTTCTTACAAATCAAATAATTTAGGGAAATTCTAGAAAAATCCTAATTTACTAAAAGAAGTGTTCAATTGGAACAAGCCTAAGATAAGGTGTCTAAATGAAATATGCGAATAACTTTAAGTGGGTATAGATGACTTAAGCCTTATTAAAAGCACCAAAAGATTTCTCATTGGTAGGAGTGTATTCCTAAAAAATCAATGGGGCCATCCACTTGATCAACCAGGTGACAAACATACACTTCAACAGTATCTCTATCTTTAAATCTTTGTGAATGTTCAAAACTTTCCCCATCAGTTTGTGTATCTAATAGAAAGTCACTCCTAGGTGGCCTAACATAAAATGTGCAACTTGTAGTATACCCCAATTCTTTAATATCATTAGTTAGTTCAAAGTAAGACATCTTATCCATATCGACATCAAATATTTCAGTGATTTCTCCACCCTCATATAATGATTTTCGACTCTTACTATTCAAAATTCTATCATGATAATATATCATTGTTATATACGTAAAAGCTCTCATTCCTGAAGTTATGTCACAATCGCAATACATAAATATTAGAAATTGAAGAAAATAATTGGTTCTTACAAATCAAATAATTTAGGGAAATTCTAGAAAAATCCTAATTTATCAACAATTGATACGCATATACAACTGAAACATATATCGTAATCAGTAACAAGTCAATTACAAGACAAAATTATGAATAGTAAAAACTCTAATTTATCGACAAACCCTAAAAAAAAAAATCAAAATCAACAATAACGTCAATACTAACCAAACCCTAGGTAATTTCTGATGAAGCATTCAATTCTAAGGTTAGACGACACGGAAAAAAGGATTAACCTTCTAGAACTACTGATTCGGGTCACTAGTTCATGAATAGTCACAGATCCACGATTTCAGCCACGTTATCAAAATTATGATCAAGAAAAGTTAGCACACTATCAAGAACTAACAAGAAATACGATTTGATCTTTGATGTAGGATCAACCTAAGGGAAAAGGGAAATACAATTTGTTCAAAGGTTTGGGAAAAAGAAAGGTTTGTTTGCCCAAATTTGATTTCTTCTTTTTTGACTTTAAAAATATATTACTTAAAATGAATTTATTAAACTAATTGACAAATTTAATGAATTAAATAGCGTGTGTGACACAACAACTAAGATTGACTGAGTAAATGGTCCAGTTGGACACATATATGTATTTAAAATACATTATTAAATAATTCAAGAGGGTAATAGGTCCTTCCCAAAGTTTGGGATTGTTACAATAATTTCGACCAAAGTTAAAGTATTTCGCGGACCATTTTCCCATAATTAAACGAATATGCCTCTTAACAAGAGTGTATCATCTTTATTATTATTATTATTATTATTATTAATAATAATAATTATATATATATATATATGTTGGTTTATTAGCATTTTAATATTAATATTTTGTATATTAATTTGCTAAAACTTAGTATAGTCGTTGCTGCCAACCATTAGTGGTTTTTTAGTTTGCTGCCGTTGCATATCATAACTGTTGCATTAGTGTTATTCAACATTACTCCAAATGGAGTTAGTGCATATGTTACAAAGTTTTTGGTGCAACAGCAAGCCGTTGGTGGCTTAGTGTTTCTTTATTCCATTCTTTTATTCCTCCATTACACCTTGTAACCTATGTAACTCCTAAGATCATTATCTTCACTATTTACTACACTATTATCTTTCTATTCATTGCTAGGAAGACTTCTTCTAGTATAAATAGTGGTGGTCTTCATTTGGTTTGTCATATACAATACAACAAGAAAATATAGAGTGCATAAGGTTTGTCAAAAAGAGAGTTCTTATTAGTTGAAGGGAGGTGTTTCTTTTTGTGGAGCTTTGGACTCAACTTTTGTCCAGAGTTGTTGAGTTATATTTTGTGATTAGGCTGTTGTATCCTGGAGGGGACAAGTCAAGAAGGACTACTGCTGGACCGGTGAAAACATTTGCTGCAGTGGGCTTGAATCTCCTTAAAGAGAGCGAGATATCCGCGCCTCAGCCTGAAGAGATTTATTTCTTCATTTTTTATTTTCAATTGTAATCTTGTATTTTTGTTATCTGGTAAGTTTTCACTAACAATATATATACACACACATTGCAACTCAAATTACTGCAAATTCCCAACATAATGAGCATCGTTGGAGCACCAAAACGTATTCAAGAGATTTCTGCTGAAGGGGAAGAACCTCCACCAGAGTTTTTCGTTAAAAAGGACACTATTTTTGCAGGTAACTTAGGCTCTGTTTCATCGATCCAAATACCGATCATCGATCTGAGTTTGCTTTCATTGAATCCCAATTCTGAAGCATACAAGGATGAAATCAGCAAACTGCTAGATACTCTCAGCTCCTGTGGTGTTTTTCAGGTCTAATTTAATTTCCTCTGTCATTTATTTAAATTATTATGTTATTGTACCTATTGGATCCCTATTTCTATTTCTATTTGTTCCTCCTTTAGCCTTTGACTATTGTATTTTTGTGTTTTTCTTCATCGTTGTTATTGTTATAGTCTTTTTCATTTATTGGTATTATGTGTAGTTTCATTTGATTGGATTGCCGTATTATTTGTTGTTATTATTGTTCCCTTCCCCTTTATTTATAGCAAGACTTCTACACTTTTGTATTTCCTTCACATGCTTCTTTTCATATGTTTCACTTGAACTGAGTATGTCTATCGTACTGCATATATACCACCTTATCCATACCTTACTTTTGAAATTACACTGAATATATTGAACTAGCAAGACTGCATACATATCATCTTATCCACACATCACTTGTGGATTGCACTGGATATATTATTGTTATTATTCTAATTTTCTATTTTTGATTGGGGTATTATTTATTAGGTAATAGGTCATGGGATGTCAAGTTCATATTTGGAGGAAATACGTAACCTCATCAAGAAATTCTTTTGTCTATCAATTGAAGAGAAGCAAAAATATGGTCGAGTTGCTGATGGATATGAAGGATATGGAAATGACCCAATTTTTGTTGAAGGACAAGTTTTAGATTGGTGTGATCGATTACTTTTGACAGCATACCCTCAAGATCAAATAAATCTTCATTTTTGGCCTCAAAATCCTCCTAATTTTAGGTATGTACCTCTAATTTCTTTCTTTCATAGCTTAATTTTTATGCAGATACAAATTAAAAGATATATTTATATAATTAAATGGTTGGTTAAAAATCAATTACAAGTAATTCGTAATATAAGTTTAGTTAGTCAAGTAAGCGGGTATTTTTAAGGTTGTTAATAATTAAGGGATAAAACTAATAATTTACGTTGAATTTAAAATTAAATTTAGAGGTGTTTTTAAGACTAAAAAAATAAAGTTTGGGTATAGATTCAAAGTAGTTCCTTAAATATAATTTTGAATAGTTTTAGTTCTTTAATTTTAAATAAAGTTTGGGTATAGATTCAAAGTAGTCCTTTAAATATAATCTTGAATAGTTTTACTTCATTAATTTTTCCAAAAAAGTCAGCAACTTTGGTCTATCTCAATTTTTTAAAACAAATTTCCTCGGTAGAGGGATTGTTTAAAAAAAAAGAATTAACATGAACTCACGTTAGGAACTATTTTTTTTTTTTTCGATTTTGCAATTTATGCTATTTTTAGAGTCTGATGCAGTTTTTTGAAGTGCAACTTTTACTCTTATGTGTATATATATTTATATATATATATTATGCTTACGTATGGTGTAGTGTATTATCGATTGATGGATTGTTTTGGTATTTTTGATTAAATCTTTTCTTTTACAGTTTCCTCAAATCTAACTAATTTAGTTTGTTAAATATTTATGGAAATATAAAAATCTTACTAATTTTAACAAAATTAACAAATCAAAAACTGTTTCAGATCGATCGAGTACATTTATGTTAAGGAATTATTATGAAACTATCTCAAATTAGTGGCGGAGCCAGAATTTTCAATAAGAGGTTCAAAATTTGAAGAAGTAGACACACGAAATAGTCGAAGGGGGTTCGACATCTACTATATATACCTAAAAAATTATTTTAACTATGTATAAATAATATAATTTTCCACCAAAGGAATTCGGATAAACCCCTAACTATAAGGTGGCTCCACCACTGCCTCAAACATAAGAGATGATCATTTTGTTGTTTTCTCATCACTAACTTAACTTATCATAGCACCTTAAATTATAGTGAAGATAAAAAATAAATTCATTACATGGTCAATTAGTTATATAACTTGAATCAAATATTTTATTGCAGGAATGTCTTTGAAGAATATTGTAATAAGGTGATAATATTAACAAGAACTTTGCTAAAAATATTTGCAAGATCACAAAACTTGGAGGATGATGCTTTCTCTAAAGAGATTGGAGAAAGAACATTGGTACAAGCTAGATTTAACTTGTACCCTAGGGGTCGTTTGGTTTGAAAATGAGTTATGATGGGATAAGTTATGTTGGGATAAGTTATTTTGGGATTAGTTATGATGGGATAAGTTGTGTTGGGATTATTTTTTATTGAGTGTTTGGTTTGTTGTATTCAAAATAATAAATTTTAAGAACAATTTATTTGTTTACAAAAATGTCCTTCATTAATGTAAAAAGTGATATAACAAAAGGGTTGAAAGAGACATTTTTGTCATTTACCTATTTTATCCCGGGATAAGTTATCCCGGGATTACTATATCACCCAAAGAGAGGGATAACTTATCCCGGTACTAATTATTAATCCCGGGATAAGTTATCCAAACTTGTCAACCAAACAGCAAAATAAGCGGTACTATAATTTAATCCCGGGACTATTTGATATTATCCCTCACACCAAACGAGCCCTAAATGTCCAAAACCAGATAAAATCTTGGGAGTTAAAGCTCATGCAGATGCATCAATAATCACTACTCTTTTGCAAGACAAAGAAGTTGAGGGCCTTCAAGTTTTAAAAGATGGTAAATGGTATGGAGTTCCTACTATACCCCACGCTTTACTAATCAATGTTGGTGATCAACTCGAGGTACAATATTTTTATACTATCAGATCATATTATAAGTAACGATAAAAAGTAGAACTAGTAACTTGAATAATTAAATAACAGGTTAGTATATATGGTATAACAGATTAAAATATATTGATACATAAAATATTTTTACATTATCGATCTATACGAGTTGGTTTATCTACAAGGGGTGGACAAGAGTTCTTTCAAAATTTGTCTAAAATCAAGTAAAAAAAAGGAAGATTTGACTATTTGACTATTATTTTGAGCTGTTTGTTAATTAATTAGGTTTGATAATCAATTTTTGGAATAGGAGGGGTTGGTTAAATGGAAAGTACCTCCATTTAGGGATCTGAATTAAACTGAAAAATCAAATCAAATTCTAATTTAGATTGACTTTTTTATTTGGTTTTTGATTAATAATTTACTTTATTTGGTTTCTTGGTTTAGTTTTGGATTTATAAAAATAAAAATAAAAAAAATCAAATTTTATACATATATGTACCCAAGTGTGTCGCCTAGTGGTCAATGAAGTGATTGAAAACCTTGAGGTTTCAAGTTCAAAACTCAGCGGAGAAAAAAAACACTACGTAATTCTTCTCATTTGTCCTAGGTGGATGAGAGTTACCTAGTAGTTGTTGCTGGTAGAAAGTGATAGGTACCCCGTAAAATTAATCAAGGAGCGCGAAAGTTAGCCCGATCATATAATAAAAAATTTGATGTTCATTGATGTTCTTTTCTTTTTATGTGAGGTGGTGATAGATAATGAGTAATGGAATTTTCAAGAGCCCAATTCATAGGGTGGCTGCAAATTCAGAACAAGAAAGGATAAGTCTAGCAGTGTTCTATTTCCCAGATTATGAGAAAGAGATAGAGCCCCTCCAAGGTTTAATAAATTCAGAAAGGCCCCAAATGTTCAGAAAAGTGAAAAACTATCCTGCTATCAATTTCAATTCCTTCCATAAAGGTGAAATAGCTATTGACACTGTTAGAATTTCACCTTCTCAATGAAAAATTGCAACAAATTTCCCCTTATATGTAGATTGCAAGTTAATAATAATTTTCTGTGAGGGATGGAAGATTTGACGAATTCGGTTGAAAATAACATTTTCTATCATATGTAAAATTTTATTATATTGTTCTTAAATATTATGAGGTGGTCCTCAAATATGTATCACTTTCTTTTTTTAAATGTTTACCAGTGAACTCAAAGACACTCCACCACCGGACCCATAAGCTAACATCTCCCACTTTATTCAAAATGGGCTCGATCCGTAACACATGAAACTCTTGCGAGCATGAATGTAACATTTTAAAATAAATTATGATTACATGTACTATAGAACTTATGTAGAAATTCAATCACATATAATAAGGATTAACTATTTATATGAGGATATTATTACTCGTAATACCCCCAAGATCATTTCTACTCCAGTAACAAGTTATTTGATCCCCATCCTCTAAAGGGGTGAACAAGAAGCAATGTTTAACTTTATATCTATAGAACTATACTTGATACCTATATTGTAACTGTAATAACCGGCCTATAGATATGAATTAAATTATTAATTTAAACTATCTTTCCTTCCTATTCGAGTCTCTTTATTTCAAATCAATTGTTTTCCTAGTCATGCACTATACTATTGAATCATTCATGGTTGTTAGTGACATGTTAATATAGAAACATCAATTGAAACTTTTAAGAAACAGTTGAAGGCCAAATGGTGTTCCAAAGACAATTTAATGCAACTTTTTGGGATCTCACACAGAGAAAGCAGAAAATTATTCTTCCATTAACTCGTTGGTCTTCTAACACAAGTGATACAAAATACGTGCTACAATTTTCTCATTTTATATTGATCGATACACGTGTCTTTTTAGATATGCATTATATTATCGAATCAGTCATGTTTGTTAGTCATGACATGTTAATATAGAAACACCAATTGAAACTTTCAGAAACAATCGAAGGCTAAAGGATGTTCCAATAAAAATTTAATGTAATTTTTTGGGGCCTCACAAAATGAAGAAGCATAAATTCATTCATCCATTGATTCGTTGGTCTCTTGACACAAGTGATATGAAACATGTGCTACAATATTCTCGTCTTATATTGATACGTATGTCTTATCTTTTACTCATTCAACATTGTACATATCGTGGTTTGGCCGTTTGGTACCTTTAAATGTCCAGCCTAAGCTTCACCCTTTTATGATCTTCAAATCCATCTTATTAGAGAAACTCATCCAGCTAACAAAACAAGTCATAAAACTCATCTCTTCACGTTTTTTTATGTAAGAGACAGTTGCTCGTGTGAGAGAGCCACTATGATGAAAACACATTATCGCATGAATACATTGAGACATGAACAGAAATTCAAAAGTCAAATATTGATGAACATAATATAACACTCAAGTTATCGTAAAGTGATAAGTATTTATTCGTTTTTAATCTCCAAATTTTATCTAATTCTAATTCGAATATAGGATATCGGAAGGGAACCAAATGATACACGTGTACTACGTACTACCAAGTTCCAAAAATCCATTCACTTCAAAGAGTTTCATATGTACAAAGTCTGCTCTGCCACACTCTCATTATTCCACAAAACACAGTACAATACCACAAACAAGTCATGGGCAAACAAGTCGCCACCGCCACCGCCACCGCCGATGGCCAACAACTCCCCGCCGACAGTGAAGATAAATATAAGCTAGTGGGTTTCAACAATTTCGTTCGTACTAATCCCCGTTCAGATTTATTCAATGTTAAACGCTTCCATCACATTGAATTTTGGTGCGGCGACGCTACCAATACTGCTCGTCGCTTTTCTTGGGGTCTCGGTTTGCCAATTGCTGCTAAATCTGATCTTTCTACTGGAAACTCCGTCCATGCTTCTTATCTTCTTCGTTCTTCTTCTTCTTCCCAACTTCAATTCCTTTTCACTGCTCCTTATTCCCCTGCTATCTCTACCCCTTCTTCTTCATCAATTCCAACTTTCTCCGTCTCTTCTCACCGATCCTTCACGGCTACCCACGGGCTCGGTGTGAGAGCAATAGCATTGGAAGTTGAAAATTCGCGTTTGGCTTTCTCGACCTGTGTTTCTCATGGGGCAAAACCCGTTTCGGAACCAGTAATTTTGAATGATGAAGTTTTGATTTCGGAAGTTCATCTCTACGGCGACGTCGTTTTGCGTTTTGTAAGTTTTTTGAAAGATTCGAATAGATTTGTTTTTCTTCCGGGTTTTGAATTGGTGGAGGGAGCCCAACTTGACTATGGCATTCGCCGGCTGGACCACGCCGTAGGGAATGTCCCGCAGCTGGGTCCGGTTGTTGAGTATATCAAAAGCTTTACTGGGTTTCATGAATTTGCGGAGTTTACGGCTGAGGATGTTGGGACAACTGAGAGTGGGCTGAATTCTGTGGTGCTGGCTAACAATGATGAAACTGTTTTGTTTCCGCTGAATGAACCGGTGTATGGGACTAAAAGGAAGAGTCAAATTCAGACGTATTTGGAGCACAATGAAGGGGCAGGGGTGCAGCATTTAGCATTGGTAACTGAGGATATATTTAGAACTTTGAGGGAAATGAGGAAAAGGAGTGGTATTGGGGGATTTGAGTTTATGCCTTCGCCTCCTCCGACGTATTATAAGAATTTGAAGAGCAGGGCAGGGGATATACTGAGCGATGAGCAAATAAAGGAATGTGAAGAATTGGGGATTTTGGTGGATAGGGATGATCAGGGGACTCTGCTTCAGATATTCACAAAGCCTGTAGGGGATAGGTATGCTAATTCACTTCTCTTCTTCTCCTCGGCTTGTACTATTCAATTAGAGCGCTTTGCTATTTGTTACAATTATTATACTTCGGGATTGTTTAGTAGTAGTGTACTAAAATAGTACTGAATAGAGTGTATTAGTTTAGTAGTAGTGTATCAAAATAGTACTGAATAGAGTGTATTAATACTGCTGGCAATTGAGATTAGTAATGCTAGGATTAGGATTAGCTATGTTGGGATTATTTCCTTATCTACTGTATGATTTGGTGTATTAAGGGCAGTACATTCTACCAAACGACCACTACGAGTGCTATCTAATTAGTCTCTATTATGCAATGTAAATATATCTTGAAGATAGGGTCCTATGATTTATCAGGATTAGTATTGTTATTTGGTTGAAAGTTCATGCAAAATTTTGTTGAGGGCAGAGGAGGTGATGTTGCAGAATGGTATGTACCTTTATAGTCTATCATATGAGAGAACTTATGATGAGAAGGGTGGGATCTAATGAGAACTTTAGGCGGCCTGCTGAAAATCTAGTTGCTTTTCCCAATCCTAGCCAGTGGAGCTCCATAGGGATTAGGGACATAAGTTAAGCTGAGTGTGTGGCTTTTGGAAGCATGAGATCAGTAATTGACTCATTAGGCACCAGGTTAACCAGGTGATTTCGTTTGCTTGTCCAAGTATCTAGTGTCCATCTCAGGGCATGTTCATATGTGTGTTGGTTGGGGAGCTTGAGTTGGAGAAGAATTTGAGCTGACTGGAATATGGTATAGCAGTCTGAAATTTGGAAAAGAGTCCTCTGAAATGGTAAGAGCTGGATTAGCAGGCCAACATCAGGAAGCAGTACTGGAGTCACTGAATAATGTGACCAAAAGAAATAGGGATTTTGACGGAGGCAATGTGGTCTCTGAATATGAGCAGTCTCTTTGTGTGTACCCTTTCTGTTTTCCTATTGTTTATTATTTGGATATTCGTGATTAAATTTCATAATAAACTATACATTGTTGTCAATTTAGCACATCAGGAACACTTCACTGACTTCTGTGATTAGGATATTTCCCTTCTGCCTCCAGCTATCCAATTTTTAGTTGATTTTGTAGTAACATAATTTGGAACACTCATCAAATGGAATGGTAATTTATGATGTCCTTATTGTTATTCATATCGTGGATGGCAACTTTGGAGCTTTCGCGCCATGTTGGTCCTTTCCACACTCCACTACTTAGTACTCCTTCCTTAAGGACCTCAGCATTTCTATTTGTGACATCTTTATAACCTTATTGGGGTCATTACCTATCATTGCTGTTCTTTAATAAGCATTGAGTTATTATATGTGATAATATTGCACCCTTTACATGTTCTTCTTTTGAAATGGTTGGACCATTTACCTGTTCTTTCCTGTTGCATTTTTTATTATACATGCTTTTGTTCTTTATTTTATTTCATCGTCTCTCTTCATTCCTAATTATGATCCATGATTGGCTAGAGATCTTGCAAGACTTTTTATATCAACTTTATTCAGTTAAGATGATTCAATTCATTTTCCTCTATAAGACTGTGTTATCCTTTGAACCGAAGTTACTTTATATTCGAAGCACCTTGTGCATTTGTTCTTCCAACTTCTCTACTCTTGCCATTATTGGTCCTGGCATTGCTTTTTCCTAAAGGTTCTTTACCTTAAATTGTAGTGTGTCCGACCATCATAATTTAGTCTACATATTTCTGTCCCATGCAAAAAGGATGAAATGTTTCCAGAAGACGTAGCTATCAGGAAGGACACATTTAGTGATGACAGCACAAAGTCAATTTGATTGCACGATTGAAGTCACTGGAAATGAAGGGGCAGAATATCTGAATGATGTTCTCGATGCCATGTGGATAACCTTTTTATTTCCTGTTATTTTAACAAGCTATGATAATTGTCTCCGAGTGTCTTTCGCCACTTCAAAAGGAGAAAGCATTGTTTTCTTGTTGAGTGGTGATTGCACCTCCTTGAACCTATCTCTATGGAATACTGACCACATTAACCATGACAAAATATTGTTTGCTTTGAATGTCTCGATTTCAGACTATAAGCGAAACTTCAGACTTAGGAGATTCCATCGAGGAAGGTTGTAGTTGTGAGAATTGATTAAGCAGGGAGCATGACACATATTCTGCCAAACACTAGCCATTGCTTCTATTTAAATTATTTCTATACTTCTGCTATCATTCTTGTTTCACCACTGGTTTGTTTTTTCCTTTTGGCCTAGCTGCATTTGATATTAATTTTTTATTGTTAGCTACATTGGATATACTAACATCATGCTTCTTAATATGTTAGCATTGAGTTCATTTTGACAAAGCTTTTCTAAGTTCCATCTATGAATATCCCTCAGTTTTCATTGAGCCAATTTATCCAATATAACACTGGGAGAACTGCTTCATTTAGCTCGGTCTTATCCCACACTTTTTGTCTTAAGTTGCTTTGGTGGATAGTTATCTTGAATTTTTTGCTTTTAGAGAATCAGGGGCACCGATGATTCTGCGCCAGCTAATGTGCTTTGAAATACTAAAAAAAGCAGGAGTGGGAAGTGGGAAGCAGAAGGAACTGAACCTTTTGGCTCTTTGAAAAGCATGAGACATGCTTTTGAATGATTAGCTGAGCAAAATGAGTCGGTGATTGACAACTCGTGAATATACTTGACGTTGGTTTTTCTGAGTAACATTTGAAATATTATTTTTTTTGTTATACATTGGCTTACTTTTCTAATGGATAGGATTGAGCCAAGAAGTAGCTAGGCATTCTTAGCTCATTGGACAATTTAGGAGAAGAAAGCAAAAACAAAAAATGTATTAATCTACAGAAATTAGTATGATAAAATATGCTAAATTAGTTAAAATGCTTATTGTAATGCCTTTCCTAAAGATTCTAAGAAGCTTTTAGACTGTCTTTAAAAACTTGAATGTATTATTGTCAAGTTGGACGAGTTACCAATTTACATGAGATATACCAAAATAATTTATACCCACGCCTGGCATTTTTCCTGGAGGATGTCCGCCCTTCAATAGCTAAAGACCTTGTTGTAGCCTTACAAAACACTGGGATAAACACAGTGCTAGAGATCCATCCAGAAGGAAAGTTGACCAAGCTTTGGTTCATTACTTGGTCAATTGTATCTTTTTTATTTTAATCCTCATCTTCACACATTTTAAGGGCCATTAACTATCATGATATTTGTATCTGGTATCGTTTTATTACAACATACCCAGTGTAATCCCATTTGTGGGATCTGGGGAGGGGTAGGATGTGCATAGAACTTTTCCCTGCCTTTTTGGGGTAGAGAGGTTGTTTTCAATAGTGCCTCGGTTCAAAAAAGTGCACTCAAAGTAGGAAACAACAAAATAGCAAGATAAAAAAATAAATTGAAGTAATAGGTAGTAGTAAAAATGAAGAATAAGATACTATATGAATACTGGGTAAACTACTAAGTACAGAGAAGAAGAGAAGAGGAGACTAGTTTCTTGCTTCTCCCTCGTAAGAGTTCTACAACACATGGCTACCTACTATCCTTCTACCCTAATCCTTGACCATCAAATCTTCCTATCTAGTGTGTCATGTCCTGTCTGATCACCTACATTGGTTCTTCTTTGGCCTACCTCTATCTCTGCTAGAACTTGTATAGCTAAACTATCACACCTCCTTAATGGTGTCTCCGCGAACCTCCTCTTCACATGCTCGAATCAACTCAGTCTTGCTTCCCTCATCTTGTCCACCATTGAGGCCACTCCCACCTTGTCCTGTATAACTTTGTTCCTAATCCCGTTTCTTCTAGTATGCCCACACATCCATTTGAGTATCCTTCATCTTTTGAACGTGTGTGATCTTAACGAGCCAGCACTCTGCCCCTATATAGAGTATCTAACCACTACTCTGTAGAACTTACTTTTAAGCCTTGGTGATACATTCTTACGTGCAGTACAAAAGCAGTTGTCTATTGTCTTGACAGTTACTCCTAGATGCTTGATAGAAATGGCTATAGATGATTGCAGTTATCTCAGATTGTTTAGTCTGGGGATTTTATAGATGATGCGCATGATGAAAATAGCACACAGTGGTTGGAAAACTTTCTTTTTCTCCTGCTGGCCGTTGTCAAGACTCTAATTTAACTGTACGCTTTAGCAACTTTGTGTAAATTAGTTTGGTGATCATAATTTGCTTGATTAATCGCGTTTGTTTCCTGTAGGCCTACAATTTTTCTCGAAATAATCCAGAGAATAGGGTGCATGCTGCAAAACGAGGAAGGTGAGCTTTATCAGAAGGGTGGATGTGGAGGCTTTGGCAAGGGAAATTTCTCAGAGCTCTTTAAATCCATTGAAGAATATGAAAAGACACTTGAAGCTAAACAAAACCCTCAAGTAGCCATTGCTTGAGCTTGCGCTCGTCTCCCTGTATAATCAACGTTAAGGATGAGGCATCGGAGTTGCAGCATAGCTTCCATTTTATGTCTCATTATAAATGAAAAATAGTTTTACATGTATATGTTTAAATCATCTGCTATTGTACAAAGAGACATTGATTATTTAATGGGAAGAAGCAGAACTCTTGGATCAACAGCCAAGATATAATTGGCATATATGTTTATCCGATTTCGCAGAAAAAGCGATCAACATTAACGTTATTCATTATTCTCAAATTACCAATGATGATTTCAAAGATAAATTTTTCATGTATTAAATTATCCACCTTTGGCAAGTTTTGGATTGATAAATTTATTTATTTATTTTGGGGAGGCACATAAATGGCTTCTATAAGCAGATTGATGCAGCAAGTGTGGTGACATTTATGACACCAAATATTGATATATTTAATTAATTAATTGATGCAAGTAATATCATGAATTCTTAATTTCGATGGCATGAATAATTCATGGCACTAAGCATGCTTGATCATACCAAATGTTATGACATAATCTTTTGAGTAATCCCTTCATTTTCTGACCATACAATTCCATTTTTTTCTTCTCCAAAGTAGTTAGGCATGACGAAATATGTTTAAAACATAATGCTTTCTAAGTATCTTCATTTGGTGTTTTTCAAATTCCTAATTTCCAAGTTAAAAAACTAGGTCTAGATCTCTCGAAATTCAGTCTCTTGAAACTGATAATTCTATGAGTAAAATCTATTGAAAATTATAATTGAGTGACCATCTAAAATATTATCTCAATACACCATTTCAAATTCTAGAGGTCATGAGCATATCTATATGAGAAAGGCACATTGCATTTTTTTCATTATAAGCTCAACAACACTTTTCTTTTACTCTTTTTCTTTTTAACAAATAATAACTGCAGACTGGGAATGATTATGATTAAAAAAAATTATTCGAGCAATACTCTTTTTATTTAAACCAAGGGTAATGCTAAATGACCAGAAAATTTATCCAGAAATTGGCCAGAAATTTTAAAAAACTATAATATTTTTTTAATTTTAAAATAAACTGATCTTTTTTCATTTTTAGTTAAAAGGTGTTAAAGTTAAAAGGGTAAAAAAAATATTTAAAAAAGTAAAATACCATTCTGGCCAAATTTCTGGTCGGATTCTTCCTTAAACCAATAGTCAAAAGTTGATTTTTTACTTCCAAAGCTAAACTACTATCGTAATTCGTAAACCATAAGATTCTTATTATCATTAGTCAATTACTCCAAGACTTAGTTTTGCGTGTTATATTTTTAAATGGGTTGGGTCGCGTGAATAACCATGAATTTTACCATCATTTTGATACATTACAATAAAAATAATATTTAGCGGCAATAAATATACTCATTAACAAAGAGTACTAAAGCATTAATTATCGACATTAGTTAATTGTCATTGAATTCAATATCGCTATAGGCTTTAGAAACATTTACAAAGAGTGTTGATTGTCACTAAAAATACATATTTAATAGAGATTAAGCTATTATGGTTAATTAATTGTTGTTGTGCTAGCCCTATTCTAGCTTAGTCCATATGTCCTTGTCAATATCAAACTAATTAACTAACTCAAAAGAAAACTATTTGGAGTTGGCTATAAATAATAAAAATCTCAAATATAAACTACTTGTAATATACTAGCAAGCAAAAAAGAAATACATATCACCTAATTACTTGATGCATGATTCACCAAAATCATTTTATTTAAAGATTGAAATCTTTGTAGTATGTTCCGACATGACTTGGATTTATTTATATATACGGGGTCAATACTCAAAGCAATTAAAAAGAATAATCAACAAGATTTGAAATTTAATATATAAGCATAGTCGAGGCATAAGAGATCTCTAAATAAAACATATGAAATCTTTGAATGATCCTTCTTTTTCTATTTAAATTGTAAGTGGCCATAGGAAATTAGTTTTTTCTACAAAAGGGAAGATTGATTTTGTGTATATAATAAATGTTAGTTTAGTTATATAACTATTCCTTTCGTTTCAATTTGTGTGACACTTTTTACTTTTCAAGAGTCAAGTTGACCAATATTTGAAGTTAAATAATTAGATTAAATCAACACAATATTTTGAAATTAAAATTTTAAAATTCAAAAACTATAAAAAAAAAAAAAAAAAGTATATTATAAGTTGCAATTTTTCTTATGCCAATTTGATGAAAAAATACATTCTAAATATTGGTCAAAATTTACATAATTTGAATCTCAAAAAAATGAAAAATATCGTATAAATTGAGACGTAGGGAGTATATTCATAAGAAAATGGCAAGACATAACACAATAGGTCAATACACCTGCAGTGCGCAATCTGAATTTAATCGAGGCTCCGAGCAGACTACTCAACAAAAACCAAAACACACAAGATAGATATAGTCTCTTCTATTCCAATTGTAGGTGATTATAGGAGATGATCATTTCCTTGCTTAATAAATATATAACAATATAATTTATAAAAGTTTTAGAGTGATGACACATGGAATAATATATAGTTTCATCCAATAATTAATTAAACGGTATCTTAGAAAAGATTATATACATATTTCTTTAACCACTTAACTTTCTTTGAAGCGCATTTTGCTTTCGTATATATAAGTACATTCAAGTGGTCATAAGTGGAGCTTAACCTAGCAAGTTCTAACTAATTTTATAACCTATAGTTATAGTAATTTTTTCTCGTCATCAAAATGGTGAAAATAATATCAAGGATGAGATCATTCGGATCGAAAGAGAAGAAACTATCGACTGATTATGTGAGAAGGAGTGACGATGATCATGTCAATATTCGAAAAGGGTACATCCCCGTGCTTGTAGGACATGAAGATCAAGAAATGGAGAGAGTGATGATACCAATGAAGTTGATGAAGGATCCTTGTATTGTAACCCTACTTGAAATGTCTGCTCATGATCTTGGTTACAATCAACCTGGAACCTTAAGGATTCATTGTCAACTTGAACATTTCAAAAGAATTCTACATACCATCTCCAAAAGAAAGTGACTTGCTTTTAAGGGGAGACCCTGAGTCTACAAAATTAACTTTGTTATCTGATGACAAGGCGTGGATTGTTAGAGATTATGTATGTTGATTTATTCAATATGGAGTAAGAGATTTTTGCTTGAACATGTAATACCAATACTAGTAGACATCCTAGGACATAGAGTTAACTATCTAATATTTAGAAATTTTAGCACTTTATCTCATATATGATATATGTATATCTAGAACTCTTAGTTAGCCCTTATCTTTATGTAAGTGATATACATATCTTTCAGTATATATATATAGTCTTTAACATTACTATTGAGAAACATAGATATGAAATTGTGAATAATGAATTTCACTTCTAAGACAGATTTTTTCCAAGTAAAATTGATAACTCATACACAATTCAACTTTCAAATAGTAGTTCTTTCTTTTTCAACTTTACCTAAATATTGTCTATACATAAAAAATTTTCACTAAAATCGGTAAAAATCATTATATTTCATTATTTCTTGCTTAATAAGTACACAATTCATATTTAAAAACATGTTATATCAAATTTTTATTGTCAATTTTTCTTAAATGAGCACATTTATTGCACCACTATATTCTAAGTTAGGAAAGGAACGTAAAAAAACTTTTCCTTATAAGAAAACCAAAGTCGCTCCCATGTTACTTCAATTTTTAAAAACAAAGTTCAATTTACTACTTTGATAATGTTTAAAATGTTGTTTTTGTTCTTGATTTCATGTACAATTTATTTGGAATACTGCAATAATTTGAAAGTTTTTCCTTCTAATTTCTAGTGTTGGGTTGAATATGGTGTTCTCTATGGATTTGGTGGAATCGGTTCACTAAGGGGTTTCAAATATAAAAAGTAAACAGATGAAGAGATCAAAGAGGTTTTTTTTTGTTTGGTAAATAACAGATATTATTACCAAAGAGCCATGTAAGTACAAAGAAAATGCAAATCTGGACAGCCCCAGCCTTGCAGATCAAATCATTCAACCATTCTAACTAGCTATGGATAGTAATCTAGACTACTCAAAGCACTTACTAGTTTTGCCTTCCTCCCTTCTCTAATGTGAATTCATGGACAATCTTTTGTATAAGAACACCAACTGGCCTCAATTCGTTCTGAAATATTCTATTGTTCCTCTCCTGCCACACTGCATAAATACTTGCTGCTAGAGCCATTCGAAATATTTCTACTAATGCATGTTTTCCTTTAAAATGCCTCAGTGCCCATGTTATTTCCTCTTTCCACCCCAATATTTGTCTGTCTGTGCATCCATTGCAAGATCTTCCTCCTTAATGTTGTCGAATACTTGCATACAAAGAACAGATGCTCACTACTATCCATCCCTGAGCTGCACAATACACATCTCGAGTCATCCACTATTCCCCAAGCAGCTAACCTTTCTCTAGTTTGTAGTCTCTCATTTAGGGCCAAGTATAGTATGAAGGTCCACCTTGGTGGTGCTGCATTGTTGCATATTAATTAATCTTCTCCACTCTACTTTCGGGAACTCCCCTCTCATCCTTATATACATCTTCTTTACAGAGAAGATTGGCCATCTCAAGATCTCCTCTTCATTCCATCCAACCTCTTCATAGTACTTTTTAGCTTTGAGAAATCTTCTGAACCATCCAAGATGCTTGTTTTGGTTGTGCCTCCCATATTGACCCATTCTTACCATAATATATATGCACCCATTGAATCCACATTTTATCTTTTTTCTTGCTAAGACTCCACAACAGTTTACATACAGCTGCATGCCTTATTTCATGTGGCAATGTCTAGGAAATTCAGCCCTCCGACAACTTTGGGCCATAGCACAATGTTTCTCAGGCAATCAGTGTTTTCCTGGACGTATCAGCTCCTCCAGACCAAAGAAATTTCCTGCATATGGATTTTATACACTTGATCACCTTCTTTGGCATAACAAATATTTGAGCCCAAAAAATTTAAATTGAAAAGAGCACACTTTTAATTACTTGAACCCTGCATGCATATGATAGAAATCTGGATGTCCAACTCTGAACACTTACCATAATATTTTCAATCAGACTTTGGAATTGGACAATAGATGTTCTATTGGAACTAAGAGGACCCCAAGGTATCTTATA